AATTGCAACCGTATTATTTTTTTTCCGCAGCATAAAACTTATTGCATTTCAATGGGCCTCTCAAAGAAGGAGTTAGGTTTTTATTATTATTTCTGGCTATCTTGCTGCAAAGTAATATTTATAACCGTACTATCGCTCGTGGAGTTGCAAATGTTCCTGTTGCAAAGCTCCATTTGGGACAAGCGATGAGACACGAAGCGCAGGAACTTGTGACCGCACTGCATCCACCACTCTGCGCCTTCCTTCTGGCTCATCAAACGATTTATAGTTTTCAATTACATTTCATCCTTAGTTATTGTGCGGCGCTGGAGTGCTCGTGGAAACGTTAACAAAGGGTGGAGGCGAGGGAGGGTGATGGCTTCTATATGTTTTTTTCTGTTCCCCACAAAAAGGACCCTTGTAATTCTGTGCGAATTAAAAATGTCTTGTTTACTTGGCTAAACTAGAACTTTTTAGAGTTTTTCCGAAAGAGCGCTTTATGTGTATGGGGTTTTTTTGCCGTTATTGCTACGTAAAATTGTAGCCGGTGGCTGGGAAGTTATGGGGGAGGGGGGGGATGCTCAAATGTATTCTCATAAAACGCATTTGTAAATCACTGGCGTGGAAAGAAAGGGAGGGAAAGAGGGAGTAAAAGACCATATTCGTCAACAAGATGAATGCGATGGCCCAAATCAGTCGACGACTCGGCTCTTTGGAAGAAGAAAAAAATAACTTTTAGGGTTTTTTTAGTTGTTGTTGGTAGTCCGCGGATTTATTACGGAGCGCCGTGCGAGCGTCACCACGATAACGGCGATGAGAAAAATGGCAGTCGGAGGTGAAGAGTCTCTCCTTGCAATAGTGAAAGATTTCCTCTGATGGTTCGTTTGCCCCTGCTGGGCAGGTAAGACGACTTACAAGAAAATGTGAGCACCCCCCCCTCTCACCCGCCCCCTTTTTTTAGAGTTGTAGAGCTAAGTGTTGGAACATAGTATAACATAACAACTGTTTAACAACAAAACTCCCTACGGTGTATTCCGCAGAACATGGATAGGCAAAAAGTGGGCATCGCCGTGGCTTTTTCAGTGAATGCCACCTCTTGTGCTTGCGTTGTGTGGAGCGCCTCGTGCACGGCTATTGATGTGGCTATTCTCATGGGGCCGTTTGTTCCTGTTCAGTGAATACCAGCTTCGACGGGCATTTGAGTCCGGGGGATCGGATGCTCCTTTGTTTCACTGGTCTTCAAGGATGTTTATCAAGCATTGGCACAATGTTAATGCTGCTGGGTTTTTTTTCCGTATTCTAAGATCTAGATTATATAAGTGGTAAGTCTGCACTCAGTTCATCTCTGTTGACCTTCAAATCCAAGCAGGAAACATTTATCTCTTGAGCAGCATTATTCACGATGCAATGTGAAATGTATTGTGCGCATGCCACGTGGTATTTGAAGGCGCGTTTCTATGACAAGATGCTGGATACATTTAAATCGTGAGGATGATCATGGTAAACACGACCTTCGTGTAACTTACATTGTAATGATGACAATGTTGCTCACAGATAGCGGTTATGCCCATAGTGAGTGACAAATGTACTGTTGATTGTGTAATTGATGATGGCATTGTTATGGTGATGAGATATTCTTTTGGTCTTTCTGTAAAGCCACGTAGATAGACAATTTTTAAATTAAAATAATAACAATATCACGACGTTTCAATCGCAGCACAAGCAATTGTTATCAGGTGGAAAAATATAGCAGGAGAGCTGCTGAGGCAGTAACAATATAGATAATTAATATAGATAGTTAATTCTATTTTTACAGCTAATGAGTTTCCCAAAGTTTCCTTCCTATTCATCACAGAGGCCACTTTCATAATGAGATGAAATGTTTTTATCTCCAAATAAAAACATCTCATCTCATTATCGTCAACAGCGATGATCAAGCCACTGCTGGATGAAGGTTTCTCCAAGCCATTGCCGTCTGTCACAATCCCGGAATCTACCCAGCACCTACACATGGGCTGATTTCCCCAGCGGCCTTGCTCTCGGACCCGTTGCAGCCACTCTGGCATTATTCTTGATCCCTGGAGCTGGAATTCCCAGTGCGGAGGCAACAGTTACTTCCTCTCAGTTGAGATGACCAGGGCACGTAAGTCAAACGGCAGAACATCGGATTCCTAAGCTCCTTCTTTACGGTGAACTCAAAGAGGGCTAACAAAGGCGTGTTCCCGGTTTGCCAAACAAAAAACTGCGCTACAAAGACGTATTTAAAAGATAACCCAAGGGAGCCCAATATCAATGTGGAACTCCTGGGAGGAGATGTCAGAGCCAGCAGTAAAGCAGAGGAGAAGTAGCTGCTGTGGCCGACTCGGTCAAGATGGTTGAAGAAAAAAATGGGAGAGAAAAAAATAACAATCTATCAACATCAACACCAGCAGCAGCAGCAGCAACAACACGAATCCCATCCAGCAGATGAGCAGCGACTCTCGGTCACGGCGCAGCCGATGCTTCCGGCCAAGGGGACTGGTGCCCCTCATCCCACAGGCGCGCAGGGAAATTGATGTGGCGAGCTGTTCTCCGCGGTCAACGTCGTTCGTGATGGACAGCCGAAGAACGGAAGTAGATTCTTGATCGCCGGTCGTCATCCCTTCCAACGATGTGCCCAGGTCGAGCCTGCGAGCTCTGCCTGACAACCTTAATTTACACCGAATTCATGCACAGGTTCACCTTATCTAAGCACGTGAATTGAGTCGCCCTGCTCGGGAAGATTAGAATGACGCTGTAATTGGGGGGGGGGGGGGGGGCGGGGGGGGATGGAGACACGATAAGATTGGACACATTCTGGGTGGTTTGCTTATCGATGGCCAGGAGATGGCAGCGCAACAAATTCATTATTGAATCCATCTGTTCAGACCTATGAGTACTATGCTGTTGCATGTACAGGTTTTCTCTCCACAAGCACACAAAGCCGCGCGCTATTCTGAACCACGCGCAGCATTTTGGTCGCGTACCTCGCGGAACGATCTATACGTAAAATGCTTTCGAAAAATATAGCAATGCGACAATCACCGTTTGGAGTTTTTTTTATTTGGGGGACGCGAGCCAATAATGTCAATTGGCAGGGAAAAAGGTGTCAACGATTCTCAAAAAAAAAAACATCGTCACGTCCGTCAATATCGACGGACGGACAACCGCTTATTAATCCGGGGCAATGCAAACCCACTTTGAGGACGGCATTGATCGCAGGTAATTGTGAGGTTATGCTACATCGAGACGCTATATGAGCTGCCTGGCAGTCACAACGCGCTGTCTGCTGGAGGCTCTGACAAACAACGCATCTTGCTCATGTACATATGTGTACAATCCATGTTGTTAGTCCACTACTGAATGAACCAGAATCTGTATTTAACCTGAAGAAATCCGATGAGCTATGAAGCTCTTTCACAGATGTCGAAATAAGTTCAACATACTCTTTGGCTCTTTCGGTAAAGTCACGTAGATGAAAAATGAAAATAAAAATGAAAATAATAAAATGAAAATAACTAAACTAAATGACGACGTTTCGGGCGCAACACACCTGATGACGGACGCTCGTGTTGCGCCCGAAACGTCGTGATTTAATTTAGTTACTTTCATTTTATTATTTTCATTATTATTATTTTTCTTTTTCATCTACGTGACTTTCCCGAAAGAACCAAAGAGTATGGGATCCTTGCAGTCACGAAAACTTCAAATCTAGAAGTTCAACATACCTACAGTTAGTTGCAACAACAAGAAAGTAAGGACCTCCAAGTGCCTTGCAGGGCCGTGAGCGATATTCGATCATACCTCACCACCCTGTCAGCGTGGGTTAGTGTAGGTGGGAGGTGGGGGGTGCTGCAGAACAGCAATGGATTTTGCCGTGCTGCCCTGCACAGCCTGGAGCATTGTGGGCTGTGGAGGGCATTGTGGGCTCTGCTACCCTCGGTTGGCAGTGATCCGTTCAAAAAGACTATCCAGGCAAAATTCCTGCTTAACCTTCAGAAAGGTCATATTTAGTCGCAGGCATCTTGATCGTACAAAACCTTCATTAGAACTGGAGGAAGAAAAAACCTCCGCTTGTGGATGTTTTTTGTATATTTATTTTATTTTACAAGTGGTGAGCGAGAATGCAAAATAATTCCACAGATAAAAGGATTTGTGGAGAATAATCCCGCTCAGAGGGAATCGATTTTATATATCACTGGTTGTCTGTCAGCCACAAACAACATCCTCAAAAAACTTAAAACTAAACAAGAGGGTTAACCTTGCAAACTGTAATTGTTTGTCTGAAGGTTATCATCGTAATAGATTTGGGGGTGGATGTTTGTGCATGGTGCGTGTGTGGATATTTTATGTGTGTGTGTGTGTGCAGTCCTGGGCCTCCCCTAGGTCGACTCAGCCTCAAATAAGTACCTAGTGCGGTGTGTAAACATCACAACTGGAGAGACAAAGGCGGTCGGGCGTGGTGCTGGCCACCCACCCCCTCGTGTGCCGTGCCGGCCTTCATAGGTGTTCGCAAACAGCACTTGCCCCAAAGTCTGTTGAGAATATACGGGGGGGTCTTTGTCTCTTGTTTTAGTAGTGGACTAACTGTGGCACAGTAAAAAGCCCAGGTGGTTCGTCTGCCAGTCATCTGAGTATCTCAGTCAACCCATAACACGTGGGTCTGTACCGTGGTCTTCTACTCGTGATCCTTCGACATTTCACATGACCTCAAGTGCACCTAGTTTGGCACACGTGCCATAATTTAGTGGTGAACAGTCGCTGTTGGCGTGACTTATAGGAAGTGGTGGTCCAGCAATTAGTGCATTGCGCTATGAATCCAGTAAATGTTGTTTTATTCCAAATCCTGGCTAGCACCTCTTGGGCAGTGTCCACCTTAAAAAGGCGCTCGCTAACCGCACTTGCCCCAACAGTCCGATTAAAAGGCTGCATGGGTGATTGTTGTCCTTTGTCTAATGTGTGCGCGCCTGTCCTCGTGTGTGCGCGCGTGTGCACGTGCACAGCTGATTGGCAAGCCAATGATGCCAGCTTACTGGGCACTGGGATTCCAGCTGAGCCGCTGGGGCTACACCAGCCTGCAGGACGTGCAGGAAACCGTGGAGCGGAACAGAGCCACCGGGATGCCATACGTACGAGATGCCTGCTCGGTCGCCTTGCTCAGCCGATGCGCGGGGCACATATGCGCCTACGGTCACGCACCGTGCACGCACACACACACGCTCGTACGCACTCTCTCTAGCACGTCCACGCGGAATGCCGTGCGTACGAGATGCCTGCAAACACCGCCGAAATACGCGCGCGTGCATTCACCCACCCACCACACGGGCACCGGCAGTCCGCGCTCTCCACACTCCAGATCGCATTTGCATGAGATGAACGTCATAATTTCCACTGCACAAGCATAGCCGCACGCCCACTCAGGCACATAGGCACATATCCACCCCCCCCCCCCCCCCCTCTGAGATTCGTTGAGATTATGAGCAGTTATTAGCATGGGCGCTACTCAGAATTCCCCTTGCAGCTCGTGCAGTGCCTTTCTTGCTTAAAATTAAACACTTTCACGCATTGTGGCTTCGCTTAATCCTCTGCGCAGAGCGCCAACAAGCAAGAACGCCTTATCATCCACCGGGATGTTCTGGGAAAAGTGGGACCATTTTTGGCACCTGCCTCTGGCACGCATTACCTAAAAAGCATTTTTTGGCAACGAGGAGTGAGATGGCGGAATGGACATACTTTTAATCTGAGGATGACAATGCAAGCTGGCATTGCAACTGCAAGGCATTGTGAGCAGACTGGTCACTGCGAGACCTGACATTGGTGAATGTCTCAGGCAAACAGCCGTGCAATTACCCAACTGTCCTATTACAGTGTACATAATTTAGAGCCAATTTTTTTTTTAAATCTACACCTTGAATTTATGGATTATCAGCATAAATATTTTATTTCGATACTATAAACACATATGGAATGACACAGTAAAAAAAAATCATCCTGGCAACAAAAATCACCAGACAGCTGGGTTTTATATATATCGCAATCCTGGTATTACGATGCATTTTGCTTCTGCCCATTTCATGCAGGTCCTCGTGGTAAAAAGGTGTGTTTTATTTGAATGTGTTTTGGCTAGGCAAAAAAAATTATCATTAAATCAAAACAATGAAATTTCTGATTGACATGCATATCGTGCTATCTTTTATGAGCAACTTGACTGGATGCCCGAAGTCACATCGGGAAGCAGAAGCGAATTTACCCCACCACACATGACTTGCTAATCAACATTTGTACATTTGCTACATATCTGCTACGTCGCCACGATTGAATGTTTTTTTTTATTGTCACAGTGGCAAGATGTTAACTACCTGGCCTGAGCTGCAGGAGGTCGTGAATTCAATCCCAAGAAACATGTGTTTAGAGTATTTGGCTGCTTTAAGTTTCCAAATGATAAGCTACCTCATTGAGATATAATTCGTGACCAGGTTGTTTCTGAAAAAAGAGCTACATAGCTCAGTGGGTTTTACCTGGTCAAATACAAATATTGTTGCAGTTCTTTTTGTTTCTATGAATTGCTATGAATTCCCATGCCACCCAATGTCACAGCTGCATTTGACTGCCGTCCCACACCCTCGCAGGACGTGCAATACACAGACATCGACTCGATGGAGGACCGCAAGGACTTCACGTATGACATGAGGAAGTGGGCCGACCTGCCCGCATTTGTGAAGGACTTGCACGACCACAACCAACGCTACGTCATCATCCTGGTGAGAGCATTTGACATGGGCAGGACAGCGTTCGTGCCCGTGGTGGCGAGATGTTAACTCTCTCGCCTGGTATGCAGGACGTCGTGGGTTCGATCCCCACCCTAACCCCTGCTGTGAATTTGGAGTGTGCGTCTCTTGCTCCTCGTGGTCCCGTGCATTTTTCTCCGAGACCTCCGTTTTTTTCCCTCCACATTTAAAGTGAACATCATGCGTTTTGAGAATTTGGCTGCTGGACATTTCCACACGATAAAACCCCTTGGTTGAGCTATCATTTGTGTGGGCAGGTCGCTTCAGGCAATTATAGCTCAGTGGGCCTTACCTTGTAAAGTAAAGTACAAATTGTTTAGTTTTTCATGAAAGTTTTAGCTGTATGGTACACTCGACACGGTCACCGCCGAGCATTCACCATAGCAGCAGTGACGTTGGGAAGCATTCTGCAACGTGTGACCATGGCCCAGCGGTAGCATGCTTGCAGAGGTTCACGGCTCGAATCCGAATCCAGCGGTCCGGCCTGATTGTTATTGCCGGCGCAACAACAGCGGCAGTACTCCGTGACATCGGCTTCGCAGTGGGCGTCGTTCGCAACAGCGGGCCAGTGGATAGGTCGTGGCTGGTGAAGACACATGAAATTCAGTGTGTGGTCTCAACAAGTTCTTACATGTTTCCCGCTCGTTATTAATGTGCATTCACCGATGTTGATCATTCTTTGGCAGTCCTGAGCCTTTATTGGAAAGTCCGCATTCACAATGTCCCGGGAGCAGTCTATCCCAGGTGTGGGCAAATTTTTTACTCGCGGGCCACAATGGGTTCTAAAATTTGACAGAGAGGCCGAGCCAGGAACAGATGGATGGAGTGTTTGTGTGAATTAATATAAATTACATCTAAAAATCATTACATGAAAGGATTTGGCCTTTAACAGGTAGCAAAACATTTATTTGCAAGGCAATTTAACAAATTGCACGAACATGAACAATACAAAAACATGTCGTAACTCCCGGTCAAAGTGCGCCATCTGATGGGGAAATGGGGGCATTACAGGAGAAAGGTAAAATTTTATTTAATAATATTTGGACAAGTTCGGCGGGCCGGATGGGCAAAGTACGGGGGCCGTACTTTGCCCATGTCTGGTCTATCCAGTGGCTGCACTGGTGAATTCAACCGAATGGTGCAGCCTCACCAGGTGGATGCTGTTCTACCGAGCCCAGGGAGAATGCGACCGAGTAGTCTGTGAAAAAGAGCTTCTTAGCTCATCGGATTCCTGATATGTAAATAAATATTCTGATTCTGAGCCAACACTGAATTTTAACTCACAACCTTGTAATTGTAATAAAATGCCCTCACTGCTCACTGGGCAACAGAAGAACGGTGGTATCTATATGCGTATAAAAACAAGGGTTATCGTAAACATCTCATACACACATACATACGTGCGAAGGTCGCCTGTTTGAACTCGCGGCGTGGTGGTTGAAATAATGGGGAAAGTTAATTCAAACCACCCATAATAAAACAAAAATTGGATTGCATGGCATCAATATAATTGTGTCGTGAACCCGCCACCACCCGACACGGCCAATGAGTAAGATTTGTCACGTAAATAAAACGTGCCAATTCGTTATGAGTGTGTCACGAGCACAGCACACCGGTGTGTTGGAGAGTAAACTCACAAATTGTAAATTTTGTGGGCTTAGTCTCCCAACACACCGGTGTGCTGTACTGACGAATTGGCATGTTTTGTTCATGTCACAAACCTCACTAATTGGCTGTGTCGGGTGGTGGCGGTTTTATGACAATCAGTTACTTTTTTTCAGCACACCGGTGTGTTGGTGAGTAAACTCACAACATTTACAACTTGAGTACGACGTTTCGCTGGCGATTACAACAAGCAGCTTCATCAGGCGATTTGACAGAATTGTGAAGAAGTCTTCCTGTTTCAGTCTTAAACAGAGGACTAATGGTGATGTCATCACTCTGAGCCAATCACAGGCGGATTAATATAATCATATAAATTACAATGGATTATATCTAACCATAAACAAAGCTCGATTTAAAGCTTTCGTGACTGCAGGGATTCATCTTCTTGGTTCTTTCGGAAAAGTCACGTAGAATGGAAATAAAATAATAAAAATAAAACATAATAAAAAATAAAATTCTCACGACGTTTCGGCCACAACACAAGTAGCCTTCTTCAGGTGAAGGAACAGAATTGTCGGGACGACAGCGCTTCAATGACTGCTGCTAAGATTCGCAGCGTCTAATAAGCTAGGTAGGAGAGGTAAAGCGCCTTGACAAAGGAGTTTACATATCAAACATGAGAATTTAGCATTGAAATAGTTGTGTTAAAGTGTTGGATTAGCAGGGTGCTAAAGTCAGAAATTAGCATGTAACTGGGAGATTAGCATGATGTTAATGTGAGGGATTAGCATGTGACTGGTCGCGGAAATAGCTACGTTAAAGTCAAAGTTTAAATCTCAACAGAGGCATTTAGTATATGGACGCTAAAGGACTGCAACTACCCAACTATCATACAATAAACCGATGTAAAAAAAAAACTAAGTATAAACTACATCAATATAATAAATGTAGTCAATATATTCTTCAATAAGTTGAGCTATAAACATAAAGTAACTGGGTATACACTACACTATATAATGAATATCATATGACTGCAGGGATCCATGCTCCATACTCCTTGCTTCTTTCGGTAAAGTCGCGTAGGTATAAAAAAATAAAATAAATGTAATCACGACGTTTCGGGCGCAACACAAGTGTCCGTCATCAGGTGGGACAACCACAGCAAAAAACACTTTGCTGAAGTGGGTAAAAGAGCTGCTGTAACAAGAGGCTATATAGGTAAGAGAGAGGGGGGGGGGGGGCAGGGAGGAGTGCAAGCTAAGACACCTGCACAACAAAATGTCGGAGTAGGGAGGGGAAGTGAGCGAAGCTGAAGAAACTGAGCATTCTCAAACTGTCGCTATCTCTCGGGGTTCAGCGACACCATAGTCCACACGTAGCATCTGCACTCTGGCTGATACTGGTAGGAACCTCATGGTTACACCAGCCCACAGGGGATTATTGTGTCCGTCCGTCGTGCATCCAAAAATTGGAGGGGGTGGGGCTGGGTGGAGAGGGGAGGGTGGGGAGGGGCTGGGTGGGGAGGGTGGGGCTGGGTGGGGGTGGGAGGGGTGGGGCTGGGTGGGGAGGGGAGGGTGGGGTGGGGCTGGGTGGGGTGGGGATGGTGGGGAGGGGCTGGGTGGGGAGGGTGGGGCTGGGTGGGGGTGGGAGGGGTGGGGCTGGGTGGGGAGGGGCTGGTCACCCCGTGGTGACCTTATAAAACTCAACGTTTAACCTACTCACTCCGGCTTGTGCCCGCCCTCACAGTCTGGCATATTTGCGGAATACACCAAGCCCGCCGTTGACCGAGCAACCCAACGTTCCTACCAGCTCCCTCCGCAGGAATGTGTTTATTCACACAGTCGTCCCCGACACGTTCCCAACATATTTATTTAGAACACCATTCCAGCAGCAGTTATTTTAAAGTATTAATACTTCTGATACATTTACGATGATTGCACGATCGATTTCTTATTTCCGGTTGAATGTCAATACCGCCATATTGCATTTGACACTGATGTAACATTCGAATGTAAATCAATTAAAGGGGAAATTATTGACAAGCTTATAAATACATATTACGTAAGAAAATATTGCATTCATTTTCGCAAGACATGCTTCCGTGTGACATTGCTTAAATCCTTCTGAAAAGAGGATTACATTTAACAGTAGAACGAACCTCCGCCCATGCTTAAATACATTTCTCTCCAGAGGAAATAGTCATTTGGTACATCAAAAGCAGTTTCGGCTTGGTGCTCTTTTGTACAAAGTTGATTTCCCACTGAGGGGTTTTATCGGCTCGCAACAGATTGGGAGGTAATTTGTCTGCCTCCAAGCAGACAACTGCGCCAGCGGCATTCACCGCTTGCAGCGAGGAACGTAGTCACTGTGGGTGGGTGGCCGTGGTTGTTCGGACACGTGCACAACACCTTGGCTAAGAGGCGCTCACAGCACTTTGGGGGGAGGAGGGGGGGGGAAACACCACGGGTATTTTGGAGTTCTGCGGTCGCCTCCATGGGATGTGAATGCAGACGAATTGCTAATGATGGAACCTTTGAATACACAGTGGCGCACAGACAGTAAGTCACCAGTTGTGAGTCAGTGGCCAGCATTTGAGTAGATTTAATATAATGAGAGTGCAGTTGAACCCCGAGTTATCTGTGATAATGTGGCGGTGAGTGATCTTCCCAATAACCACCAGGAACTATTCGCGAGTAGGACACTCGCAACTTCCAAAGCACGGATACACCCCAGGTCCATAACGTGCGACTACATCATGCCTGTGACTTTCATCTCTGTCGTTGAGCTATCATTGTCATTATTATTACGCGGCTTTCACCAACAAAGCCTCGCTGAGTCTCAAGTATTTTTTTTCTGGAAGGTCCGACAATGTTTTACGCAGTAAGGGACAACGTTGATCTGGGCAATCCTAAAGACGAGTTTGCAGGTAATAGTTCCACATTGGGATATTTGACCACGACAATTAACATGACGTTTTTTTGTGTTTTATTACTATGGAAAGTAAACACGGAGAACCTGGTGGAAAAAAAAAAACATGAGCACAATCTTCTGGCCATGCATTCAGAGTGTCTCAAAGAAGATAAGCCTGTGTTTGGTCCCGGTCCAAATCGGAAATAGCATTTTTTTCCATCTTTTTTTCTCACCTTGGGCTGGCGTTTCCCACTTTCAGAGGCGGCTCGCAGCGCTACTGCCCACGTGTTTTCTCCGCGGCGTCTTTGAGTGTTTACTCCGGTGACAGATTGTCGTGCAACATGTGGCGCTGTTGGTTGAGAGATTGTAATCCCAGTTCAGAATGAAATACCGGCTCACGTTGACGTAGTACTTAAGGGCACATCAGAGTTAATTCATTTATCATCTTTATCATGATC